GTAATTTTTCACAATTTCATTGATTCAAGGGAAGAACAATACAATAAGATAGTGGCAAATAAATTACAAAGTTATATGGAATTTTAATCCACATAGGCTTTTTTAAATATGCATCCTATTTTATATTATCTTAAAGGAAATTCAATGCATTTCAAGTACTTTAGAAAGAAGGATGAATATTGTTGTTAATAGTTTGTAATCTTAAAATAAATATAATTTAATAATAATAATCAAAAGTAATTGCAAAAAATATTTCTTGTCTATAAGAGGCACAATATACATTCTTTCTAGTATAGCTTATCTAATATTTATTCTTTAAATCCTTGAAGACATGCTTATATGAAAAAATCAATGTAAAGAATATTGCACAAAGCCTCATATACTAACCATGCACTAAAGGTTGTCCCTTCTTTTGTTGTATTATTTGCTATTTACAACAGATTCTCTTTCATATTAAATATCATATTGTATTTTCTTGATAGGTATATCATTAGATACTTCACATGTGACTTTTCACAATGTGTATAGAATAACAACAAAAAATCAATTACTTAAACTCAACTCAAATACTTGGCATTCAAATACTACTTTATTTCATTGATTGGCCTTGTCATCTCAATAATAGCTTAGTCATTACCATCAAACTAAAAACAAATACAAAGTTGTAGAAACAAAATTTCTTCCTAAACTTGATGTTTTTTGGTGCATATACAAAAGCAAGTAAATTTGGAGGTATAATGAGTGAAAGAAGAGAAACTTTTCTCCTTCTATAGTATTTGCTCCACATGTACTTGATCCATAACTTAGTAGATTTCATTGCCAACTAAAAAAATGCCCTATAGTACTTACATGTCTAATTTATTCTTTCCACATTCTAATAATTGATTTGGAGATCCTCTAAAAGATACTTAATATCACATAATAATTTTGGTAATAAAGTATTAATATAGTTCTTTACATCAGCCTCTAAATACATTGAACACCTCTTTTTTGTTATTCCTTCCATCATTGATAGTATTTCTTCTTGCTTTAGTTTTTCTGCTTGTTCATATGTCTGATCTATGCTTTTGATATTCGAACTTGCTATTGCTGCCATCATTGCCATCTTTTCTTCTTACTCTAATTCCTCTTCTTGTTCACATGTTTAATCCATATTTTAGATATTTTAATAATTAACTTAGAAATCCTATGGATCAACCTTTCAATATATTATAGGCCTTCTTGTTGTTTTTATTGCCATCATTGTGAGCCTCTCTTCTTGTTGTGGCTCTTTCTTCTTTGCATGGCTTGCTCTACCAAGTTCTACTAACTCTTCATGTTTACACATTTATCTCTCTCTATTGTATTTGGCTTTTGTAGCACTTCTATTCATATCAATTTCATATTTTAGTAGCCTCCCGTATCTTTATCATGCCATACTTCCATTTGCAATACTACATTTTCTTTCTTCCTCTTACTATTGCTAATGCTTTATTTTATTGCTCTTATTTTTGTTATTATTTAATAAAATTTTGTATAAGGCTCTTCATTGCAATTCGATTTTTTTATTTTATTGATTAGATTCTTTCTTCTTTCATAATTTAATACTAGATGCTATGAATCTTGGCATAAAGTCTTTTTTTTTTTTTTTTTTTTAATACAAATATAAAATCATTTAATGAAATTTATAGTCTAAATTCACAAAAACTTCATTGAATTTTAAATTCACAAAATTCTAAACTTCCAAAATTCTTAATTTATAAAAGCTTTATAGACTTCTTAGAAAATTTAGAAAATTTTAAATTCATAGTCTAAATTTACAAAACCATATTTATGTCACACCTTGTTTATATATGTTTAGTAAATTTGAAGTCGGCTTTTGCAACCGTTCTTCCTACATCAATTGCATATTTTTGTAGCCTCCTATATATCTATTATGTTGCACTTTTATTTGCACCTTTGCCTTTTTTTTCTCCTCATTGTTTTTATTATTGTTCTGCTTTATTGCTCTTGTTATTTTTCTTTAAAAAACTTTTGCTAAGGACTCTTTATTGTAACTTGATTTATCTTCATTACAATTGTTATTTTGATAAAAGATTCTTTATTGTAATTTGATTCACCTTCATTGCAATTGTCACTATTACATAGAGTTCTTTATTACAATTTGATTTGTCTTTATTGTAATGAATGCAAACATCAAAGTGAATGCAAACATCTACAATACATGATTTGGAATACAAAAACAAATCCAAATCCAAATTCAAATCCATACTCAAAAATTTGTTTTTTTATACATGATGTAGATACTTCATTAAATATTGTTGTTCTATTGCTTTCAAGAGGAAGCAAAGTGCATTTAACTTGCCAAATTGGTAGAAAAATAGAGCCAATTCTTACACCCAATCAATAGCATATTGCAAATTATGTACAACACATAATATACATCAACAACCATATTATATAAGAACCTCATTGTAACTACATACAAAACAATTATTTTTATGTAACTACACACAACCATAACTTCATACACAGTTTCAATGTCCCTTATTACTCCAACCAATGAAATTTTTTGATGCTACATACAAATGCTTAAAGTCAATCTTTTTATATAGGTGGTATTCATTATCACTTTTGTAGAAGACTCTTCATTGAAACTAAATTTTTCTTTATTATAATTATCATATAGGCAACTAATCAAAAAAAAAAAAAAAAAAAAAAACCCCCCCCAATATATCTTGCTAGCCAATCAATGTCTTTATTGCAATTTAAAAAATAAAAAAAATAAATACACACTCACACAATAAACTTTGGCAGCCAATCAATGCCTCTTATTGTGATTATTTTTAAAAATAAAAAATAAACAATGAACAATACACACACACATACATTCATATAATATACCTTGGCATCCAATCAGTGATCCTTATTGTGATTATTAAATTATGCAATTGATAGCATAATTTAATAATTGATTTCTTCTTATTGCAATTAAAAAAAATAAAAAAATACACAATATACTTTGGTAATCAATCAATGCCTCTTATTGCAGTTATTAAAAAAACAAAACAAAACAAAAACACACACAATATACGTCAACAACTAGTGAGTGCCCACTACTGCTCTAGCCAATGGGAGTTTTTGACGCTACATACACATGTAGATGCTCGATTTTTTTTTATATAAGTAGATACATATTTTTATTGATTATTTTAAATTTAGAAATTATGAATTTTTTATTTAAAAAATATTGAATTAGTTTGGTATTGAAGAGGATCTTCTATCTAAATAGGACTGTAAATTATTTGTAAAAAATGTAGATGAATCAACTTGAAATTGGAGGGGCTATTCTGTCTAATCAAAATTAAAAATCTTTTGCAAAGAGAGATGATGATACAAATTGATATTGGTAGGCATGAATTTTCAAAGCCGGGTGCAATTCTGTGGTGATTGTTCATTGCCAGCGTTTGGACTGCGGCTGTGGACTCAAGGTGAGTGGAAAACCCAAAACCAATAATTTACTCTTTACGAGCTGGTTCTTAGCCTTACACAAGTATGTAGCGCGATGTATTCGGAGTTGTGGATCAAAAGATATGAATTTACTAAGTAGACGTAGTATTGTTGAGGCTAAAACTGCTGGAGCCTTGTTATCGGAACGAGGTAATGCTGGAACTTTGGTTTGATATTTTATTATGATACATCTGGTTCTTACCTTTACATTGGTATGTAGCACACAACGTATTTGGAGTTGTAGATCAGAAGTTATGATTGTTCAAAGAGAGCATGCAATTATTTATGTTTGGAGGTAGACATTAGAGTTACTAATCCATCATTTGTCAACTTGTAGTTTGCTTTTTTGGAGAGGGGTAACAAATATTGCCACAAAGATTATTTGGTGGCTTGCAATTTTCTCAAATTGCATAGACATGTTTTTGCGACATTTTTTCCCCTCCTCTTTGTTACTTTGGAGGCTATGCAATTGTTCCACCACCTTACTACTACATAAATAAAATTATTTAGAATACCATCATATTTATTAGATATAAAAAAAGTATGTCAAATGAACAAGAAGCTCTTTCTGGGTACATGTATTGAGATGCATTTTTTTGATATTCTTAATATATTTTATCAATATTTCTGATCAAATCAAACAAATAAATCTGTTTTAGGAGGATAATAAATTTTCTGTATGTATATGGTCCTTCCATTTGTTTTGTTGCTAAAACATTTATACTATTTTACAAATTAATATACTTTATACAAATTTCTCATGAAAAAGAACACAATTCAAAGAAGTTTTCAAAAAGACAAGCCAAAGAAAACAAACTAAGCACTAAAAAAAAAAAAAAAAAAAAAAAAAACTATAAAGTGTAACAACATCCCACTTCCTAAAACTTGTCTTACTTACCCCTCTAAAACCTTAAACTAGGCTCCTTGGACATATATAAATATCTACAATCAACAGCGAGATAAACCCTCTTCTGTTTATACATGAAAGATATTTTTTGATTGTGTATAGAACTGTTCGAGATAGACAGATATGTATACATATATATATATATATATATATATTGACTGAGTGGGGAGCTGGTGAAGCTGAGAAGCGACACACACACACACATTCACACAAACACAGAGATGTGTCACAGCAAGAGTCTAACTTTGGAGAGTGAGCAAGTGTGGTGGACTACATGCGGCGGAGACAAGCACCGACTATTCTGGTGCGCCTCCTTCCTTCCTTCAATGAATGAATGGAGCTGGATGCGCATCCCAATGTGCAAGCGAGAGAGAGAGAGAGAGAGAGAGCTCCAAGTGTGAGGCTCAGCATGCGAATCTGTGCAGCCCGACAGCTTTCGAAGCCTGGTCTTCGGTGGTCCATGTTGTGTCCAACTCGCCCTTTTATTAGAGTGAAAGGCTCTTGCTGAGGAGCACTGTCAGGTGGGTATTGAAAGAGAGGGACCCATGTGTCATTGCCTGCACGCCCTTAACGTTGCCTCGCGCCTCATTAACCTCTTGTCGCCTTGCACACTTTCGTTACGAAGTCCGGATCGGAAATCCCACTTTTTTCGCCTAACACATTCATGCCTTGTATTGCTGGCTGTTTGTCTACTCCCATGGAACTCCCTTTTAGTGATAGGCTGCTTTTGCTCTGTGGATAGTTCGTATTCACCGAGGAACATAGTTGTGGCAGTGTGCAGCTTTTGTCCCGGAGCCTTACTGGAATTCATTGCAAGGTACTACGTTCTTCAATAGCTCGACGGAAAAGGATGTGTCTGCCTGAGGTGTATTGGACACTAAGTTTGTAGATCCCAGGCTGATGATACGTGTCGAGTGGGTGTTGCAGTGGAAGTGGAGACCTCATCGTTGATATTTGAGCATTTTTTCACAGGCTTTTTTGTCGCATGGTTTTATTATGCGAGTCTGCGTGTGAGATGCATGTGGAAGAGGAAGGGGCCTGCACATTCATTCATTCAACCATGAATGTTGTCGTGAATGTCATGTGCAAACGAAAACTGCATCGCAACATTTTAAGGACTGGGAATATCACCCATTGAGTGTGGTTGGGTAACTATATGACGTTAACGTGAAAAAATCTGCAGAAGTAGTAGAATTCTGTGTTCATCCAAGGATGTTGTAATTTAACAAAGGTATTTCACAAAGTTTCATCACTCGGCACGAACGAAAAGCTGCAGGTACGAGTTCAGTTGCATGTTTTAGACGCATGGTGCAGTTTATTGAGTCCTGTGCAGTGAAAATGACAAACCCAGTCATCGAGAAGTGGGGAAGTTGGAGCATAGAAGTCTGTGATCATGTGGTGGCCCAACAGCGAGGAGCCTAGTGCTACGCCGCTTTACAGGGGATTGTCCACCGAGGAGCCCAGGTTCAAACAAATAAAAGCCTGGAACTGAAGCCCTGGAAGATATGTCATTCGAGGAATCAAGGAGCCCAACTGGCCTAACCACCCACACCTCCATGTTCGCAATATACGAGATCCCCTCTAACACCCCTATTATTAGCATTTCAAATCGTGTCCCTTTGGTAGACAGTTCCGTGGGTTTATCACCCCTCTCGACCTTGTAGGCTTTTATTGCTTCACCCAATCTTTCGGTGACCGCCCCAACGAAGAATGCGGTTTCGGCCGTTGGCTCCTCTTGTTCGTTCGACGTGACATGTCCCAATTACCCAGCTTGGTGTTGTTTCAAGTAGTCTGGCAGGATTTTTCGCATCGATTGACGTTCTTGTTCAGACTGCCGCAGCGAAGATCAAGTAAGTAGCGGGGTTGTTGGGGTAGGAAAGTCTCTACTGTGTGTACTGTTATGGGACTCTGGCAGTGGTTTGGATTTTTCTCGCACTTGGAAAGACTAGGTTGCGTGGTGTTAGTGAAGCAACACGACCACTAGCTCACCGCGACCACGGTTGTGTCTCTTCGTTTCTGAACTCTTTTTTTTTCTTTCCTCCCAGTAATCTGCGGGGTCCGACCTTTCTATTTGCTGCTGGAGTGAGGTCGTAGAAAATGGGCGTACGTAGTTGAGAAAGCTTTTAGTTGTCTTGTGCTTGAGTATTCATAGCTAGCCTTTGGCAGCTCCTGGTGTAGCTGTTGAGTGATGAAGTTGGTTAGCTTCTGAACCCAGATTGCATACAAGCCTGAAAAGAGAAAGCTCTGTTGAATTCTGATCCAGAGAATTGAGCTCTGCACGTAGAGGTTGCAATGCTTCACAGTTGTCACGACATTGCATAACTTCAGTCAGGATCGCGACATTCTCGGATTACCTTAATTTTCTCAAGAGGGGTGGCGGATTTCCATGAGGGTGTAAGGAAATCCACTATTACGAACGTGTTGTCCACTTTTGCTCGAATTTCTGACAGGCCCATCAATTCATGGTTCTGGCGTGGCGCAGTTGAGAATTCAGCAATTTGGTCTGAGCGTTAGTTCCTTGGCCGTTGCGGGTAGCGTCACCATTCTGTGCAGCGTTCTCGACTCTGAATTCCATTCCAGCTGGTCTCGCAATCCAGCAAGAGACCTTAGTGACATGAATACTGGCCGCCTAATCCAAGTTCCATTCAGCACGGCACTGTTGAGCTGCTTTGAACTGGCTCATCAACGGTTGGTCCCCTGTATTCGTTGTATATTCCAGTCTGGAACAATGCACGTTGTGCTTTTTACTCGAGCTGGGTAGTGTTGGTGATTAGGTTTAAGCATGAAACAGGAATTAGTACAGGAGGAAGAATTTTCGCTGAACCTGGCGGAGGGTGCTATGTTTAGCTCCTTGAGCACTTGATTAGGTTTCCTAGATCATGTTCCCGCAGGAGAACAGAATATTCAACTCCTATATGCTGGTTATGAACCCGCTAGAACAACTTGTGGCAGATTTGGAGCAAGATAGATCAGCGCGCGGTTTAGATCATCTGATTCTGTCTATTATCCTAGTGGTGCTATCACACTGAGGGTTAGAGAGAGAATCAGAGGAGAAGCGATTCCTGAACTTAATGTCCTTGTTGCAAAGGAAATCTACATGCGTCACTCTGTTTAATAGTGCAGTGAGCTTGCCTGGTACTGCTCAAAGGTACTGAGACTTGGCTGTGAATGGTCAGCATTACTCATGTAGTCACATCTACGAATTGGTATTTCGTGTTTTTCTTTGTTTCTTTCTCTGATTTTTTAATTTTTTAATTTTTAAAATGTGGACCGTCGCAGGGTACTAGTTATGAGTTTAAGCTGCATGTGGTACGAAGTTTAAACAGCGTCATGAAGTGTCAATGCTTTTTAGAAGCTTGCAACTATTTGAAGTCCAAATTAGTGCTCCCCGTGTCTAGTGTCTTTCTGTATAATTCGGAGGTTTCCATTGCAATTGACTAGGTTGTTTGTATCACCTCCTCATTTTTTTTTTTTTAATTTTTTTTTTAATTTTTTTTTTTGACAAGGATTTTTTTTTTTTTTTTTTTTTTTTCTGCAGAAGAGCACATTTCGTATTAAACGCATCCAGGATTGACTGTGAAAAATGATGCTTGGTTATGCAGATAGGCCACCTTGCGCAGAAACACTTGAACAACGAACATCTGATCCAATATACCAAAACATTAGCCCTTGCAGCGGATAGGTCTCAACGGTTATGAATGACGAAAATTTTGCTCTTGAAAATAGACTTTCGAATGCGGGGGAATATGACACCGCCATAGCGGTGAAGCTACTAGCGGGTTGGGTTCAGACGGGAGAGGACTGCGAGACATGTATGACGCAGCTCATCTGCAACCGGTAAATTCACCAGCGAACACTCACTCTTCAATTTCATTCCAACTTACAGTTCTGCGCAGGATATGGAATCTAAATGTACCATATTGCGATTCCGAAGTTTCAGGTAATCGTATCGCCATTTATGACTCATCTGACCCCAGTTTATGGTATTGGTTCTGTCCCTGTCGACAGGATGAATCAGGCCTATTGTGTAGCTTGTTCCGAATGGAGGAAAACTCCGTCTAATTCCATAGACAAGAAAGTAAAAATTCCAAAAACGAAGCCAGAAACTACTACATTGCTTTTAGGAGACGATGACACGCCGTCGTTTATTAGAGTCATCAAGGCCTCACCAGGTCAGAAGGCAAATATCGGAAAGAAACTGAAGGATATCCATATGGAAAAGTCTAACCTGGAAGTTAATGTGAGGAGCCCTAAAGAGTCGGCAAGACAGAGAAGCACGCTGCAGCAAAATCTATTTTGCTCGGTTCCTCCTATTGTAGATGACGATTCTGGCCCCATAAATGCTGCACTCTGGGAAGAGTGTTCGAGATACGAGAGGAACTTTCGAAGGAATGATATGAAATGCGAGGCTGCAAGGGGCTCCCCACGAGCAGTTCTCGAGGGCCCAGAATCAAGTGGGTGGTCAGAGTCTACTTCAAGGAAAAGTCTCTTGAGCCTGTCTTTTACCGATGAGGTTGAGGACGATCACACTGGACTGGCACAATCAAGTCAGAACCATTGCATGCAAAGTCTCTGGAGATTGTTCGCAATTCAAAAATGGCAGGCTTTTCCCTCATCTTCCAAGAAAAAAGAGCTACGCATCTCGGATCCCGTGTTGATAACTTCATCTGGCAGAAGCGATGAAGAGGAACCTCACCTAGGACCCTCTGATCACGAGTCTGTGCACGACTTGCTCGGCGTATCCTGTAACGCAAAACGATCCTGGCAGACATTCTCGTACGAGGACATTTCTCTTGCGACTAACAATTTCGACTCAGGTGAGAATTCAATTTTCTTTCTCTACTTATTTTGTCAGGAGCTAATACAGTGACCATGATCCATTGTTTCTAGTATAAGTAGAATACTCATGTCGCAACCCAGGTTGATGTAGCGAAGATCTGAGTTCCTTATGATGTCGAATCGTTTCTTGTGTCGGAACAGAGCACCTTGTCGGCAAAGGTGGATACGCGAAGGTGTTCAAAGGAGTTCTGAAAAACGGTCAGTTGATTGCAGTGAAGAAACACAACCGGGGTGTCACAGCTGCAGAAAAGGAAAGGGATTTCCTGACGGAGTTGGGCATCGTAAGCCACGTCGCCCATACCAATGTAGCGAAACTTTTGGGCATCTGCATTGAAAACGGTCTTCATCTTGTGTTCCAGTTTTGTACTCTCGGCAGTCTCCAATCACTTCTCCAATGTAAGTCCGCCCCGTTCTCTGTTTCTATGCAAATCCAGACAGTATCCTCCTACTCGACCCTTGATCAGCCATATTTTGTAGTAGATGGTGTGTGAGATAATCAATCTAGAGTTCTTGACAGACTTTGTAGTCATGACCCCCTGCTTCCAATGGCTTGGTCACTCGTGTATAATTAGTTCAGATGGATGTGGTGGCTTTACAGCACCAAATAACCCACCATTTTCTTGGGAGGCGAGGATGAAAGTCGCCGTAGGAGTAGCCAAAGGTTTGCACTATCTGCATGAACAGTGTCAAAGGCGGATCATACACCGTGATATCAAAGCTTCCAATATACTATTAGACACTGATTTTAATCCGCAGGTCGGTGCCGACAACTCACGTTTGCTGAATACAGTTTGGAAGGCTTCTGCTTTACATGCCAGCGTTCTTCGATTTTATGTTAGTAACATGGTACATTACTCTTGCGGCATACAGATTTCGGATTTCGGCTTGTCAAAATGGCTTCCAGAAAGATGGATGCATCATACTGTTGCACCTATAGAAGGAACTTTTGGGTACGCTAATATCCTTCTCAACTTGATTGTTAACAGCGTGTCGGAGGAGAGAAATGCCTGTGGATGGTATCCCTCTGCATTCATTTGAAATTGCAAGTCGCTAATATCTTCCTTGCAATTAGTTTGGGCAAGTACTCTCTAAAAAGAACTGACGCCAGGAAGCATGACTTTTAGGTATTTGGCACCCGAATACTTCATGTATGGAATAGTGGATGAGAAGACGGACGTTTTCGCTTACGGGGTATTGCTGTTGGAGCTTATTACAGGTCGTCGACCTGTAGATTCTAAGAAGCAGAACCTTGTTGCATGGGTGAGTGAAGGACCAGTGAGGCTATCCACATTGTGCTTAACTTAGTTCTTGATTATTTATGTCTGCCTTCTATTATGCAAACATTGAAATGATACACGCTTAAGTTGGTTAATCTTCTCCTGTTAACTACTGGCCCGTGTTAAAACAAAGTTTCCTGTTGGTGATAACAGGCAAAGCCTCACCTAAACAAATGCAACATGAAGGAGCTCGCAGACCTTCGTCTTGATAGTGCCTTCGATGCTGGCCAAATGCAGCGTGTAGTGTTAACAGCAGGCCTGTGTGTCCGATCGTCAGCTCATTGGCGTCCTTCAATGAGTCAGGTTGGTATCCCACACGTTCCTCAACTCCTGCAACTCTGAAGAGAACCACAACTTTTGATGCGTATTCGATAATGTTTTTGTTATTTTAACGAAAACCCTAAGAAAATGGGTGTGATGTATGGGATGGCAGGTACTGCAACTATTGACAGAGGAAGGAGCTGAAAATGAATCCGAGGACCTGTCCAGACTAGTATCAAGACCCCATGATTTCATACCTTCTGACACCGAATCTCAGGACTATGGCTACTCAGATAGTTACGAGAGTGACATGCAACGGCATAGAGCTCTCGCGTTAAATTCCGAGTGAGAAATGGAAGTGTACCAGTATGAGCTTCTATCCATTCAATTCAGCAACCATGGAGAAAGGTGTCAGTACTTGGACGATCCGTCTCTGAGGTGATCCTCGGAGCAGTGCGTCAATTTCAGTGTGCGAGGTGGACACCTTATTCTCGTCCCTGCCTCTTGATGGGCTAATGGAGTTGCACTTAATTTCTGTGCATCCTGTACAATACGTCAGTAGTAGACAAGCAGGACGCTAAGTGCAACAAGGCGTTTTCCTGCGTCACGGAAGAGAAGCTGGTTTCTCTTTGTGGGCTCAATCACATGTTGAACTGATGACGATGTAGTTGAACGTCGAGTGACAGTAAATACTCGTTCTAGTGTAGGACAGTGGACTTGAAGTCACGATGTGTAGAATAACTCGATGATATTTATGCAAGTAAACAAGAAAATGAGAGATTTTCATTTCACAGCATCAATGCGAATCTTTTTGTAATCTCTGATGATTATGGTTATGTACAATTGAGTTGGACCACTGTACAGTAATTTGGTTATCTCCAGACTGTGACATTTATAGCAAGCAGAGAGTCCGCATAACTCTGATGTGTAAATCTCTCGGATTGCTCTACAATTTCTTTAATAGGTGTCAATAACTATGTAGCATGAACGCCTTCTTTCATCGGCTCTGCTTTGTTGTTTATGTGCTGCACTCGGAAAATTTGCTGCAATCTTATGTTACAGACTGACAACCACGTACCACGGACGATCAGCACATCGTTAATGTTACTTTCTGCGGAACATGAAGAACATCAGGAAAGGTAAAATAATTATAGGCATACAAGTCAACCAGGTGGGCCTGCACGTACACATCACTAGTGGTCACATCAAAGTCACCTCGATATGTAATTATAAAAGCCAGTAAATAAGCTAACATCTCATTTCAGATGAGAACTAAACACCTCTTCCAATTAAAAACTAAATAGGCGCATTCGTTCATAAATTGCGCATCACAATTTCCTTCCACGATAAATATGAGATTGTACATAAGTGCAGATGAAGAACCTTAATTTCAGGTTCGACAGTATGGAGGTAATCCAAAAAATAAATACCTAGCCAACCACAGAATGTATTCTACAACTTTAAATGTAAATACCTGACCTCCGCTTAAGATAGTGAATACAACAAAGTCTGCACCAATACATCGCAAACCCCCCGTGCTTGCAACCAGAAATTAATACCCTATTTTCGAATGTTGTATCTGGGTTGATTAAACTGCTGGCTGGAGAATTGGAGGTGGAAATCGTCATTTCCCGGTCTATATGAATTACATTCAATGCTGGAGTTGAAGGAATATCACACCAACTATGAATACTAAAAAAGGTGGCTGCTGTACAATGTTGCTTTACGAAAGAGAATATTAAAGTTTCTCTGGAGATTTGTTGCGTAAGCGATGGCGAGAAACTTGAAATTGCCGCACCTATGCACTAAATCCAGAAGTGACAGGGCTCCAGATCCCAAGATCGACACTGGTGCTGATTTTGCAGACCTCTAACGATGCCAGTGACATTCTTGAAGAATTGATTCCAGCGTTGCAAATATTAGCAAACGCACGCATGTGTTTCATGCCATACTGAGTCAGTGGACCACAGCTTGCTTCAAAAATGCGCACCTGCAAAATATGTTATTCGCGTGTTAGTACATGCATCATCTGAAAATTAAGAAAACTGGTGAACAAATAGTTGGTTGCTTTTCTCTGCATCAATAGTAGAAAATGATAGGATCAAACTAACCATGTTCTTGAGGCAAGCCCAGTCGTCCACAACTACAGACCCAGCTGGGCGAACTGCACCGAGCTTCTGAAGTGCGTCCTCTCCCGCAAACAAAAGCTCACCAATCAACCTCACGCTGTCATCCAAGTGCCTTCGATGTAAGATTGTTTTTGCAAGTTCTGATGCAGCGTTTGCTTCCCTCAATGATCCCTTCTTAGCATTATAGAACTGCATCAAACGTACCAAAGTAATGAAACCTTCTTCCCCTAACTTTCAATAAAAAAAACATAGGACCTTCCAATTCGCTCAGAGAATCGACCCAAATTGAAAGAAAATAACACAAACATCTGAAACAGATGTACGCCCCTTAGATTTAGACAGAAACCAGGAGCAAGATAACCTTTCTTTCCTAGTACTACAATCCACGGCCTTACTGGATAACCGTTCAAAGCAATTGTTGAGTCCCATGACTAACAACGACATTAGAGAGCTAGGACCCATCGTGATTATGGAGGTCACATGGCAATACCTTGTGTTTAAGATGGACAAGGTCGGCTTCTCTCTGAGGAACATGCGTGACGATGTCAGAGTTGACCGGGGATAACTCCGAAAGCCCAGGCTTTGTAACATTTTCATTCGCTGGGTCGAAACCAAGGTAGCGCTCCAATTCTTCCACATCAATTTTAAGATCACCATACTGCATCACGTGGGAGCCAGACCTGTATGTATTGTGGTTTGAGGTTCTAGACTTGACCTGGATGCACATTAAAAAGAAACCTTGGGTTATTACCAAAACCATTTTCTTTAAAAGGAAACCACCACTTCTTTTTTATCCTGATTTATGGCATCACATACAATTTTAAGGTGATTCACATTTCACAACAAGGAGCTTGCAAGGAGAAATGAACTTACAATAAGATACTGGTCCTCAAGTGTTTCCTTCTTCAAGTTTTCCTTCTCACTACAATCCGACAAGGTGCAAAAGGATTAGTTTCGTATAGTCTTATTGTGGTTTCAGAAACTTCTCACATGTTATTGACTCAATGAACGGAACACATAATTTCAAACACGTTTTCTAGTGATCAATAACTCAGCAAAACTAACAAAAAGACACAAAAGAGAATTGCGCGGCATTGAGTTAGCTTACGTGTCTTCCATCCATGCGACACTGTAGAGATCACCCAAGCAAGTTCCGTATTCAGAAGGTGGTGATGGATACATGCCAGGGCAATAAGTGCCCCAGCTGCTTTCCACTGCATTAGAGGCAGTAGTGACATAGATGTTTAAGCCCTCTGGTAAAAGCCCCTCAAAAATACTGCCACTCTCACAAGCCTCGAGGTATATCACCTGCAGAACAATCAAATATCGACTATTGTAGTTAAAGATCAAGTCAAGATGCTAAAGTATGAAGATGAAAATAAAATTTGTACAAATTGCAATGATGGAATGAAGTGAGATTATTACAAGCTCTTTAAAAGTTCCGGCTGCAGCCTTCTTCTTAAGAATGCCCACAAAGTCATCTGCATAAAGGTTCGGCGGGTTGGGCATACCTGTTGGCAAAAATAGCCAAAGTCACTTGTTAAAATTGTAAACGATTTTTCAGCTATTTGAGGATAAAACGAAAGCGGATGTCCTAGAAATAAATGAATTATAACACCTCCATGAACGCTTGTGAAAGACTCCAGCGTAAGCAAAATTGCACTGCAAGAAAATCGATACCAAAAGACAACTTTTAACAAATAAAAATAAAAAAGAATATAGAACAGTACTAACCAAGCACACCAGGGCCACCGTGGTCCGAGTAATAGATGAAGATGTGATCATTAGGACCACTGTCAACCACCTTTCCAGTGCCTCCTTCGATGGCACTCTTATCACCTAGGATAGCGGCATACAAATTGCTCACAGTCACGTCGGAACCTGTATAATCCTGAAAGTCCAACGCCAGATTATAACAATCAATCATCATGGCATTTCAGGTATCAGCTAATCAAGTGATCCAGCTCTTCAAGAGTGATTGGAAGTGAACATTGCTAACCTTGGGGACGCCTTGGTAAACATCGGGTCCATCAGGTTTGTTGATAATTGTTCCTGGATATGGGTTCTCGGGGTGGTATGCGATGTCATCGTGCATAAATACGATAATGTTCTCATCCTTCAAGCCTCCACGTTTCAGGATTTGGTATGCATGGCATACATCAGCCTTTCACAAACACAAGAAACCATAATAAAGTTCAGCACGCGATCCACAAGGAAATACCAATCAAATTCGGAAGTACACTACAGCAAAACGATGGAGCTTAGATTAATGAAGATAAAACACAAAATATTTAAGACAGGGTAATCACGCAGACAATGATCGATTCCGCTTGCACCTGATGTCGATAATTCCAGTATCCAGCTGAACCAGCAATAAGGATAGCCCAGCGAGTCCCCTCCTCACCCTTGTGCCCCTCTCCAGTCGGCATCATAATATTACCGTCCCATAAGGGCGTCCGACCCAGCGCACTTACTTCACAAAGAGCAACCACAAGGACCAGCAGGAGTCCGCGTCTAGTCGCCATGCTAGCCAAAGGTTGCATTTAGTCAATCCTTTCCTGATCACCACAAATGTATGTATATATATATATATATATATATATATATGTATGAGTGTGTGTGTGTTAAATCATTATTTTTACCCGTGTAAACAGTAGAGAAAGGGGAATTTTGTATTTACATGATACACGAGTGGGTGCACGTAGCGATTATACAACAATAGAAGTGCACAATTATTATCCTGTACACTGGTGCCTCTCAGATGCGACGTAAAAGGTAATATGAAAAATCGCTGCAGGTTTTACAACGTGATATAATTCAAGACCATCACATGCGGCTTACAAATATCAGCAAAGAAATTAAGCGGAATTGTTAAGAGAAGCTTGTCAGGCAGCTGCTTTTGTACAATCGCGGCAGGTTTTACAACGTGATATAATTCAAGCCCATCACATGAGGCTTACAAATATCAGCAAAGAAATTAAGCGGAATTGTTAAGAGAAGCTTGTCAGGCAGCTGCTTTTGTACAATGTCTCTGTCTTCGACAAGCATGCTCATTCTGTCCGGGAAAGAATTCAGAAAAAAAAACGACAAAAGTGTCTCTAAAAGGTGAGAACAGCTTCACAAGAGGAGGCTCCTTAGCAGTGGACAGAGGATAAGGTAGGGGGGGTTCTGTCTACTACAGCTCTGAAACATATGGATCAACTCTTCATGCACGTAAAGAAGGGGGAAAAAAAAATAATAATAATAATATTAATAATAAAATAAAATAAAATAAACGACAATGATCTCCCGAAAAAGCATACTATAACCATTGAAGAGTCCCGAAAAGTCTGCAAACAAATTCAAACGTTGAACCACACAGGAAACCTCCACCAAAACGACGGATCCACCATTCGCACATGGAATCGCACTCTCACTCTCTCCGACTTTCCAAACCCTCACGATAATCACGAGGAATATCACCAGCGAAACCAACTACATATCCCGCTGCGAAACACAATGACACAATGGGCTGATCTCTCGCCAGGGGAAGACTAATATCCACAGCGAAAAGCGCAACTCTCCACGAAAAAAGTCGCTAGAAAAAACTCGACCGTGGGGAACGAAGGCTGAATTTTAGATATTCGGAGAGCGGAGAGGAAGCGTACCTGTAGAGGCGGAAGACTCTGCAAAATCCGGCGAGACGAGGGCCACAGCGACGAGCGAGACGAGGGCCCTTTGTAAAGAAGAAGCGATCCTTCTGCTCCACCGCAGATGAAGACTCCTTTATGGATGAATGATTCAGTTCATTCGTCCTTCTGCAAGAACGTGGATGAATGCATGGTGATGGATGACGATTCGTGGACTTGTCTTAGCTCTTTGAGAGGTCGGCAACGGAGCCAGGTACAACCGCGCGTTTTTATTAAAAATGAATGGGAACTAAAAATATTAAACGAAACTTTTATTTGTTTTTTAAAAAGAGAAAGCAAGAAAGATAGTGTTTTAGGGTGTGTCTTGAAAATGATGAAGTCCTCCCAATTAGGACTGATTTGCACCAATGCTTGTAGAATGTTCTCACCTTGTGCAACAAATAGAAGGATTTGAAAGTAGCTCTCCATGAACTTCAACTTTCTAGAAGTTATGGTTTTTTTTCTTTTATTGTTATTTTTTTTAATCATCAAATTATTTCAATGTATGTACATATGTCAAAACACACAAAAATATTTTTTTATTGATTTTTAATCAATACAAATTTAATAATAGATTTTTTTTGATGATGGCTATGATAGATGGATTGATTTAGTAAAATTTTAGGTAAATTTTAAAATTATATATATACATTAGCAAAAAACCATGCTATTGGATGCCATGTTTATTTATGTTCAATCAGTGAGAAATCTTTTTTATGTCTTTATTTTATACCTAAATTATATTATATAATAGATATATAGATACATGTATATGCTTATATAACACATCCATAACTCGACAACTTTAAATGGTCAAGAGAAATATGTCAAAATATGATTTTAATACATGTAGGAAATGTGCTACTTATTTTCATATTTTCATAAAAATAAAAGAATAAAGATGTATATGTTTGGTAAAATAATTTAAATAAAAAAATGTGAAATTAATTAATATAAATGCATAAGTTGTTATAGATCCCAGATATACATAGATACACTTGTAAATATCTATATGATTAGGTAGCAATAAGTAAAAGTAGATAAAAGTATTTTAAATTCATAATACCTTTTAGAAAAGCTTCTTAGAAGCTTCATAGATGTTGCTTTGACTTTATATGTATTTGTAGTTAATTAATAGTTTAGAAACTTGATGAAAAAGTTAATCACGTCTTGATAACTTACAAAACAAGCTAACTATGTGGCGCACATATAAAAAACTTGCCTTATAAGTTAAGATAAGTGTCTTGCAAAGTCAACACATTTTGGAGGTACTATAAGATATCTCCACATAGCTCCTAGTTAAGATGATATATATAGGCAAGATTGAAGCTTTCTTCATTCTTGTCAATGCCTTTTTGGTCCTTAGTCTTATCTCAAGACTTTTTAGTCTTCTTATTTTTTGGCAATAGAAATTCTAGTTCAATATTATATCATCTTTGAATGACTTTTTTAGTTCTATTCAATGATACAAGAGTATATTGAGGATTTTCTTTCTTTGAGATTTATGTCTTGGATAGTTTGATAAAAGTGCTAACTTACTATTTCTATCTTATTTTAGAAGTGAGTAGATTATCTCACTTTTATTATTGTACTTTGAAGGTTGCAAACTACCTACCTTTAAACAAAAAATCCTACTTTCTAGCATTGTTCTTTTCATTAAAAAGAGTGGATTATCCTTCTTTGTAGAAATTTTTATTTAGTATTAGAGGTTAAAGATTATCTTCCTCTAATTTAACTTTTTGAATTTGTTTAAATTGTCTATAGAAGTAAAGTTTATAGATGCTACTCTCAATGAAACAGAGAATAGATTAGCAGTTATTTCAGATCTTCATGAACTTGTCAACACTCTAAGAATAGAAATATCATGTATTTCTAATGTGAATCATAGATGTACTATGCCTACATCTATAGAAAAAGTTTAGAGTCTACGACAAGAAGTTGTGCAGTTGAAAGAAGCAAGTACATCAACCTTACAACTAAATCCAAGGAGTTTTGCTTGTACAAGTATGACAGGGACAAGAATAAGTATGCTTGAGAAGTTTAATGGAATAAGATTAAAAATTTGAAAATTTCTACAATAAATCAAGCTCTATCTAAGGTTGCATTCCTTTCAATACTTTGATGGATTTACTTAAGTCAGATTCATAAGCACACTTTTATTAGGAAGTACTCTCTATTGATTTACATCTTTAATGTAAAAAAATGAGCGACTCTTTTATGATTTGAATTCATTCCTAGAAGTATTTTTACGGTCACATTTGGAGAAAATAATTAAAAAAGAGTAGCAGAGATGAAGCTCTTATCTTCATGGCAAGGATCATGGTCACCCATCATATATGATGTTGAATTCCAAAACCTCACTTGTAACATGGACTAGAATAATAAAGCCATTATCAATAAATTTTGATATTAATTGAAAGATAATAGCAAAGTTTTATTATTGATAATGCCAAAGGTAAAATCTTTGAAATAATTTATTACTCAAGTCATTGCATGCGACAATCAATTATTTGTAAGATATTAAGAATAAAGATTTGGTTGGGGAGGACCAAATCAAATAATGATGGTAGCTTCCAAGTTTTTAAAAACTTATTCATCAAGGCTAAAATCAATACAAATTGATACAATATGTTTTAAACCCCTCACAGAGTAAAAATATACTCGACGATGTCAAGACAACTTATGCTTATATTATGAAGAAGCTAAATACACTACTCAATATTTTCCAAAGAAACAATGCAATTAAAAAATGAGAAGCATGGTTGCCAAAGAAGATAAGGTATCAAAAAATGAATTTTTTTAGCTATAATAGGAATCGTGCACCTTGAAACTTGCATAACTCCTAATAAAGGTCATATTCTCTTTTTAGATCCCTCACCTTGTTTTACAATAGAAGTTTATTTAGGATAGAAAAATCACAAAGTCTTAGCTTTGTTAGATTCAAGAGTCTTAATATTTTTTATAAACAAAGATTTTATCAAAAAACAAGAAATATTGTTAATCAAAAAAACTAAACTTATACATGTAGAAGTCATAAATGGTCGTTTTTTTATCTTCTAGAGATAATATGCATGAGATTATTTTTTTAGATGTAAAAAATAAAGATCTTAATAGTATAGTAATATTTAATATAATAAGATCTTTATCCAATCTAATTATTTTAGAAATATCTTGATTAAAAAGGTATAATCCTCAAATAGATTGGATTTCTTGTAACCTTAATTTTTTTGATAGTTTAATCCAAAATTTCATTAGTCAAGTAGAAGTATATAAGTCTACTACATCCAAACTCTTATTGGTAGGTGTAAGAGCTTTTATGCATGCTACAAAAGAAGGGATATCTTTTGCTTTATATGCCATGCCCATTTTTGATGGTTGTGAGTGGTTTATTTCTTCCATCACTTAAGTCCAATTTAATTAAATCATAATCTAAATTAGAGTCCAATATTAAGTAATGTAAAGTAAAAATCATAAATAAGATAAATAAATAAATAAATAAAATGATATGATAATCACAATTGGTCCAAAAAAACATGATTAAGTAAATTACATATTTTTTTGATTTATTTTTTAGCAATTGCAGTTTATTTAGGTAAACATCTTTCAAGACTTATCTGATTACGCTTAAACTTTGAAACTTATGAATTAATAAAAAATAAATAAATAAGAATTAATACCACATTAGAGTACCAGTCTAGGGCTTTCTAAAATAGAAATGAAGTTCTCTATGGATAAAATTTTGATGGCAAAGTTATGATACCATTTTAGAAAGCCTTAAAAAAAAAAAAAAAATCTAGGGCTTTTTGAAATGGTACCATAAAAAGTAAAGTCAAAGTTAAAATTTAAATAAAAATGGAACAACATAAAGGTCAAAAGTTGAAGATAAAAAAGTGAATTTAAAGTCAAAAGTTAAATAAAGATTGAAATAACATAAGGTTAAAAATTGAATGTCAAAAGGTAATTGGAAGTTAAGATTAATAAATAATTACAAAGATAGGGTAAAAGGTTTAATTAAGTAGTATTAATTAGAGGTGATAAGATGAGTGAAGATTGAGTCTAGCAATTCATGCACTAAAAAGTGTGATTAGGAGGTGACTAGGGCAGAAAAAACTTACCTTGAGTATGTTGAGGATAGCAAACCCTTGTTGTTCAAAAATATGCCAAAAATTCTCTACAACTCTTATGGGTTTGAATTTTTTTGTAGTTGAATTTGACTTAAATTTTCTCTTATCTTCCAAATCTCGTGGTGATCCAAGATTTGACGTTCACAAAAATTTTTAAAGTAAGGTGACTTGAACTACCTATGCAGCAAACACCCATCTACTTAAAGATCCACAAAAAAATTGCTAATGATTCAAAGTTAAGAAATCTAGTTTTTTTAAAAAATAAACTTAGCAAAACTTCTTCTCCAGAAAATTCCAATAGAAAAAAATAAGTAAACACTAAGATATGTTTTTCCAAGTTAGTTGTTCTAAATTGCCAAGGCAGTAGACCCCTTCTCACCTAGAAATTCATCAAAAACACTTTATCACTTGAAAGTTGGTGAATTGATTTTTCTAGAATACCAGACTTTATAATATATTCATTCCAATAAATTACATTGAAGTTGGGTTAGAGGTCACCGAGTTATGGATTTATGAAGTCAGCACTCTAATGCTGCTAAGGGTAGTGGACCTCCTTTACTTGGAAATTCGCCAAAAATCCGTCCAAGCTTCAAATTACTCATGGCTTGTGTCATTGGAAAGCTGGTGACTAGAAGAAGATGATTACAAAAGTATTGCAAGGAAGAAATACAACCAAAGAAACTGAAAGGTAGAAACCTAAGCAGTTACAAAATGGAGGGAGTTTTTATTAAAAAAAAGAAGAAAATTTGGCATAGCTTTGCCATAAAAAAGGAGAGAGAGAGAAGGAGCTTGGCCACCTAAGCCATCTTATCTAGGTAGGAGGAGGCCCAAAAGTGGTGGACACATCTCCACCATCTAGATCAAAAATTCCTAATCAAGATCAACGATCCACAATGATCTTAAGTCTAAATCCGATTTCAAGTCTAGAAATCCCTATAT